GAGTAGAGGGGAAGGAGAACCTCCCTCGACCTGCTGGCCACACTCTTCTTGATGCACCCCAGGATCCCATTGACCTTCTTGGCAGCCAGGGCACACTGCTGGCTCATGGTCAACCTGTTGTCCACCAGGACACCCAGGTGCCTCTCCACAGAGCTGCTCTCCTGCAGGTCTGCCCTGAGCCTGTACTGGTGCATGAGGTTGTTCCTCCCCAGGTGCAGGACCCTGCACTTGCCCTTGTTGAACTTCATCAGGTTCCTCTGCACCCAACTCTCCAGCCTCTCCAGGTCTCACTGAATGACAGCACAGCCTGGCAGTGTATCCACCGCTCCTCGCAGTTTTGTGTCATCAGCAGACTTGCTGAGGGTACACTCTAACTCTTCATCCAGGTCGTTGATGAAGAAGTTGAATGAGACTGTGCCGAGTACTGACCCCTGGGGGAGGCCACTAGTTACAGGCCTCCAACTAGACTCAGCGTCGCTGATGACAGCTCTCTGGTCTCTGCCATTCAGCCAGTTCTCAATCCACCTCACTGACCACTCATCCAGCCCACACTTCCTAAGCTTCCCTAGGAGGTTTTTATTGGAGACAGTGTCGAAAGCCTTTCTGAAGTCGAGGTAGACAACATCCACTGCTCTTCCCTCATCTACCCAGCCAGTCATGACATCGTAGAAAGCTATCAGATTGGTTAGGCATGATTTCCCCTTGGTGAATCCATGCTGACTACTCCTGATAACCTTCTTTTCCTCCACTTGCTGAATGATGAACTCCAGAATGAGCTGCTCCATCATCTTTCCTGGGATGGAGGTGAGGCTGACCGGCCTGTAGTTCCCTGGGTCCTCCTTCTTGCCCTTTTTGAAGACTGGAGTGACACTGGCTTTTCTCCAGTCCTCGGGCACCTCTCCTGTCCTCCAGGACCTTTCAAAGATGATGGAGAGTGGCTCAGCAATGACATCCATCAGCTCCCTCAGTACTCCTGGGTGCATTCCATCGGCGCCCATGGATTTGTGGGCGTCCAGATTACTGAAAGTGTGCTTCAGATGAAATGTGGGTTTTGTGTATACACAGTCATGAAGTTTTTTGTTCAAATTATGTGCCTTCAGAAGAAAAAGAAAACAACAGAATGTACAATGCAACATCAAAAGGATTTTTGTTTTCGTTGCTGGCCTGCATCTCTGACCTCATCAAAAGAGCTACAGCTTGAAATACTTTCAGATTTCACAGCCTTTTTTCCCCAACTCTAAGATTAACCTTTGCATTTGTAAAATGCGCATTAATAAGCACTTTAAGGCACTAGTTTTGCACCTTAATAAATCAGGCAGCAATAATGAATTTTATTTCTATTGCTGATAGCACACTTGAGGCAGAAGGGTGGGAGCCAGAGTGATCTGCTCTGTGCTTGTGTGTTTGAGTACAAGTGAGCTTTCCATCACATTTTTCTGTGAAAAAAATCAGGTCATTGTTTCAGTACAGTCACTATTATATGATCCAGTGTGGCTCAGCCTGGAACAGTATTTTCTCCCCATTATTTGTACAGTGGAAGGCCTAGGGCTGCTCAGAAGGACTGATACTTCGCCATGCGAAGTGAGATACGGTGTTTTGAGAGAGACTGGGCCCTCCACAGTAAGCAAAACAAAACAAGCAAATGAAGCAATGTTACAGGAAGGGAAGACAGAGTGCATCTTAGCCCTATGGGCCATGGATCTGGTTTGCCTTTGGCATCTTTTTTTTACAGGTGGCATAGTCTGGAGCATAAGCGGTCAAGCCACCAATACAGTGCCATAATTGGATTAAGCTGAGAGCAAGAACTTGGGAAGAACAAGAGAAGTATAACTCTTAGGGCAAAGTAAGGGAGTAGTCAGAGAATCTAGCGTCATGGTGAAGGCAATCTGAATAGAAACTTCAGAGAAGAGGCAGAAGTAAAGGTAAATTTCTGACCAGCGTGGATGAAATTAAGTAAATCTACCAGGTCTTTTTTTTTAAAAAAAAGAAAACAATAAAGAGTAATTTACCCACTGAAATTTTAAATTCTCTATATTCAGTGTCATTATCTAGAACTTTTTCTAAGATGTCCAGACCAGTATTCATCCCAAAGGAAATGTTTATAAGACAGAGATCAAGGGCAGATTGTTACTGTCTTGGTGTGGGATGGCGAAGATTCGAGTTCAATAGTTAGGATTGCAATGTGGGTTTTCAGCTTTCTGCCCTTGGAATGGGGAAACATGGAATGGGGTGAAATATTTGAAAAATACCTGGAGGGTGAAAGAGAGAAGTCAGAAAATATTCTTTGAAGCAAAAGCAGATGTAGATTCTGTCTAGAATTTTGAAGATCAGTGCACAACTGAAATACTCCTTTAAGTCTACTCCTGTTTATAAACCTATCCCAACATATCCTCATCTGTCTTTTATTTTGTTACATACCAAATTAAGGTAATTTTTTAACATGGAAAATACCTGGATCATGTTGTTTTTATTAAAAATGCATCTGCATTTATGGATGAGTGCAAAAATATATTTTCAAATTTGTCTCTTCACTAGCATGAGTAGTTCTAAGCATGAATTCAGCCTTTACTCGCTGTCTTGAAAATCTGAAGTTTTGATTTGAGATTAGCTCAAGAGTCTCAGTTCTCCTTGTTGAAGTTGTTTGGATTGCTGTTTTAAATACATTAGCACAGACTCTTTGTTCATTCTGAAGTTATTACGGTGTCCCTGAGGAAACAGCATCTCAAAATTTTGCTCATCACATTTTCTGAGGAGATAGCATTTGAACAATAGGAGAGAAAGAGTGAAGTAATTCTTTGCTGTATTTAAGGAGGAGACTCATTGTTTATACATGGTGAAAATGTGCTAAAAATGAAATGCTCAGTTTTCAGTGTTTGTAGGGTATGAAGAACATGAGATACCAATGTCTTAGGAGTGTAATATTTTTTCTTTTTCTCTCCTTACACGAGTCAGTGCTCAGTGAATTGGAAACAATGTACTGAACACTTAAACGATGTGTATGTATTCTTGGGTTGCCGTTCATTTCCTGAAAAGTGTTTCAGCTTGTAGTACCAAAATGTGTTGGCAGGAAACTTTTTGGATCTTTCTGAAGAGTAGAAATTCCTATGGAGGTGGTTTTAAAGTGCTTAATGTTTAATGATAGAGGTTCTGCCTACGAATGGATTTTCCTGCATGCTTTTTTGATAAATTGTTGAGTTTTTTTAGAATAGTTGAGTACTATAAAAGATCTATTATGTTCTAAATTTTATGTACAGTTTATCAGCCTGTGATAGTTCTTGTGTTTCTGTTATTTTCTACTCATTATTCCCTCTTTTTCCGTTTCTCATATCAAGGAACCATTATATTTTTATATTGTCAATTCTTATCAGTTAGACTTCTTACTGATTTTGCATTTGCAGAGGCAAAGGTTAAACCTTTGCCTTTTTAATATGTTCTTCTGTAATGACAGATCTTCTCCCTTTGGCAGCCTAATAGGTGGGTGAAACTGCTAACCTGAGGAATAAGTTTCAGCAATGTGCTCTTCAGGGAACTGGAAGATAACACAAATACTTTTGTTCAATTCTGCAGACCTCCACCAGTGAGTGAAAGTGCACCAAAAGGAACTGTGGTCGCAGTTGTTACGGCAGCTGCCTTGAACCAGACAATTGTATATTCGATTGTTTCAGGAAATGAAGAGGGTACGTACTAATCTTTCAGTCTTAGTGGTTATGCTGAGCCTAGTGCGTGCATCAGGATTCTTCAAGAAACAGTGATTAGAAATAAAGCTGCTGAGGTGAGATCTCACCTCATCTGTACAAACAGGAGGGACTGCCATTATCAAGCCTTTAGAGATTGGCTAAAGATCAGATTAGTTAGTAGACTTACAATGAAAATCAAAATACAATGAAATTTTCACCGATGTGAAAATTCATATTGGTGCCACATGGTGTGAATCCATGGCATACTGAAATAATATAAATAGCTCTGATGGCGTTGTACTTCTTGCTTAGAAATCTCTTTTAAGGCAGTGTAGACTTTGCGGTGCTGTAGCCACAAGTATTAGAGTAGAACCTGATATTTAAATAAAACATCATTCCTACATTTGCATCCTTGTCAGGTACGCTTCATGATCCACCTTGAAATCTCTAAATAGAATTACACTAAATTATTTGGAGGGATGTGGAAGAATTCCCCATCCCATCCTCCTTTTTGCGAGAGTGGGCTGTTTGTATTCTGTGCTCTTGCCAGCATGTCCTTAAATTGGTTATTCCAGTACCGGGTCAGATTCAGCTGCTGTGCTCCTTTGAAGACAGCTTCAAAGAGGAGTTATATGGGCTTTTAGAGGCCTGAGGGAAGGATAGGAGCAAATTTCTGAAGACAGTGTCAGAGAATAGTGTCATCACCAAAAAAAGAAGCACTTAGACGTTAAAAAAAACAAAGTGTTTATGCATCTTAGAATATTACTTCTGTTTTTGCTGGATTTCAGATGTGTTTGCTATTAATAACAGAACAGGCGTGATCTCAATTAAAAAGTCTCTGGATTATGAAAGCATGAAAAGTTATGAGCTTCGAGTTCAAGCAGACTCCTTGCAAGTGGTACGATCCAATCTGCGTGTCCCTTCCAAAAGTAAGCTTAAAAATCCTTATTTTTGAATCTCTTTTTAATAGATATATGTATTGTTCTTTTTTGAGGATATTGATAATTGCACTTTAGCTATTGACCTTGTTTTGTTATCAGAAATACAAGGGTGATGATGGTATGTGAGCACCAGAGAGTGTATTTCTGGATCACTATGCTTCCCTTCCATACGTGGAGCTGATCAGTCTTGAGCTACATCCTCACAAATCATGTTGATATTACACAGTTGTAGGTCTCACTCATACAGACAAAAGTCATTTTTGTATATAAATGCAGAGTTGATGACACAAATTGAACATTTTCAGTGCAATTAGGGCGTTTTGTGATGCAATGTCACAGTTACTTTTTCGTAAACACATTATATAGCCCAACTACAGACTTCCTCCCTGCTGGGCTGGTAACATCACTGCAAACATTGAAACACTACAGGGAGGAATGAGGAACAGATACACAGCAAGGGTGACAGGAAGAAAGAGACTCCTTCAATACCCCTGAGGGTCTGCATAGAGTTTATTGCAGCCCTGACTGAGAGCAAACTGGAGGCAAGGACCTGCTGTGACAAAGGCATCTCTAGGCAGGAAGAAGTTTATTTACAAACTATTTTGCTTTGGCTCTGTCTCATGGTGAGGGTTTTCTTTTTCACTTTAATGGTTTTCTTTTTCTAATAAAAGTATTTTGAAAGATCCTGTAATGATTTTTATCATCATCTCTGTAAGGTAAAGTTCTGAGAAGTCCGGCTTTCAAACGTGGTTCACTTTGTGTCCTAACCCATCCTATACAGTGTCCTGTTTAAGTCATAGTTGTGCCCTAGTGAAAAAAAAAACACAAACAAACCAACCTTTACCAAAAAGTGTTTTGGTACATGTTTTTACACACACTGTGTTTGTTGTCTCAAGTTTTTTTCCTATATGTTTGGTATCTGTGAGTCTCAGTTTTTCCCTGCTCTAAGGCGCATCATGGATGCAATGAAAATAAGCCCAGGGTGGTGGACTGTTGCACTGAGAAAAGTGTGGTGGGGAATGGAACATTTGTTTAAAGGCTATGAAAGTATTACTTTCTTCTATTTCAAATTGAGTGTAAGATTATTTCAAGTCATTTGTTCTGCAGCCATAGTTATTCCAGTATGAGCAGTGAGCCAGATCTGTTGCAGGTGGCTGGAGCATTTTTCTCCTCTGCACTTCCACCAGTGCTAATCCTAGAGCAAATCTTCAGCACTGGAAAAAAGCAGGCTCATCCTGACCAAAAACACCCCCATGAACTAATAGGTTGAGGGGAAAACTTCAGCCTCTTTCATTTATAAATGTCCATCCAAGAGATGCTGCTGTACTGTCTCATTGCATTGACCCTTGTGTGAGCTGAGGAATCCCCAGGAGGCCAGGCTTTGTGGACCTGCTGTTTATTGATGTGTGTGTAAAATTCATTCAAAAAAGGACCTCACATTGGTATTTTGAAACCATGATATACAAATGGAGTTCAAGTTTACTTCAGACTTCTGTGTTATGCAGATGACCAATATTTAGTTACTTGTCAATCCAGGGCGACAAGTAGGGGGAGATACTATAAACTAAATGCCAGTTTAGTTCCTGAATGTCAGTGAGATGTGGGCAATTATCAAAGTGTGTATGATGCTGTATGGATTTTGCTGCCACGGACTTTGATTTGATCTCTGTTCCCAAGGATTGTGACAAGCCAGGGGCAAAAAAAACTTCCGTCATTCTTTCATCTGTCACTAATGTTAGACTGTCACCTTTCCACCTGCCCTGAGTAAGAGAGAATTCATTGTGCCTATGTCCAGACACAGAGACCACTGGGCAAATTAGGACTTAGAACATGGTGCGGTCCATTTTTCTCCCTTGCTACAGGGAGAAGTGAACTGTGTCAGCTTTTTCGGTTTTGCTGCTTACTCTGATCTCTTTGGCTGGCATGTTGGCAGGCAGAGAGACAAAGTGCCACCCCATTGTTGTCAAAGGTGGCAAAGTTGTTCCATTACAGACAGAGTCTTTTCCACACTGCAGATTGTGATCCACATTGAACAGTCTGAGAGTCACAAAGAAAGGGCCACCCTTAACTAACTGGGCTGATTCTGCTGCCCTTTTTCTGTAATTAGTCTGTAATTTTTCTGTAATTATTGTTCTGACAGATACAATAATAGCCATGAATATTAGCAAACCCATCTCTAGTGTATTTTAGTGCCAGTTTGGTGCATATGCATGAGAGTATTATGTATATATTAGAGATCAAAATTCCGATTGTTGGGGATACTAATTTAAAGAGGGTGCAAGTCTGTTTCTTCTGTATAAAGATACTACTGTAGAACCTGCTTGCGATATTGAAATTGATACTTCATGAAAATATGCTTACAGATTTTTAAAGTTCTTCAAGTTCTTAACAGGCTTAAGTATTTGGGAATATGCCATAAAATGGGGTGATAGACTATAGCCTGAGACATTGTATGGGGGGTGGCAGTTAAAATACATTCATCGGGCTTTCCGGTACTACCCATGTAACCAGCAGAAGACTTTGGAAAATTGAGCATGTATTATCGTGCATGTTTCTTCTTCCTTAAGAAAGAATTGAGCATGTGTGTGATGTAAAACGTAGGGGCTATTCGGAAGTCAGAAGCTGAATTGTATTAACAACAATGTAAGATTCTGTGTGCTGTTACAACCACCACTGATGGTGTGCCTGGAGAGGGAAAGAAAGAGAGGTCTAGTGGCAACTGATTGCATCTCCTTGTGCCTGGGAGAGGCAGAGTTAGGGTTATATTCTGTAAAATGCAGCCAGGCCATAAGCAGTGAGGAGATAAGGCATCTGGGTAGTGTACACCTGTTTTTCGAATCTTTCTCTGACATAGATGAACAGACAAGGGAGTGAGCAGGTTCCAGTAGAGGTCTTTGGGCAGACTGTTAAGGAAAGCAGGGGCCTCTCTATCCCTCTTCCAATTCCTAGTCTGCACTACAGCACTTCTTCCAACTGGGCAGAAGTTTTAAAAAGGGGATGGCTGAATTATTTTATTCAGGGATACTTGATAATGACTGGAGTTTGAATTTGATCCAGTGTAAAGGAAGACATGAACTTGCTGTATGTGTTTGGATATCCATGAGTATACAGTGTGTATTAGATTTTGAATATGCACTGTGCTGGATGTATAGCTAAAGAATTTGGTTGACGTATACTTCTAATACACTTTGCAAATATCTGGCTAACAAAATCACTTAAATCTTTGTAATGGAGATCCCTTGACCTCTACATTTTCTTCCTACATTTGCATGATGTATGTCTTTACATTTTCTCTGCATCTTTTTCTTTCTTGATTAATTTTAATCAGGTTAAATACTACTTCAGAGTTTTGGGGCAAGGAATTGTTGAACTACAGTGGAAGGAGATGAGACAGAATTAATGAACCATTGTGGACTTTGGTGACATAGAAATGATGACCCACTTTGGAGATAGGTGACCTTGAATGCGCTTCTCTAGAATTATGTGACATTTAATTAATACACCACTCTGACTTTCAGTGGCAATGAATTGCTGCCAGTTCTGGCATTAGGTACCACTGAATTGGTGAACCGTTCTGGAATTTGTTGGCAGTGAATTAATTACCTACTCTGGAGCTGCAATGATGTGCCCTTCTGAAGCTAGATAACACAGCACTGATGAACTGCTCAGCCACAAAGCAGTGCTGAATTTCATGAAACTCAGAAGCAAGGTACCTAATTTTTTTTAACTGTATGGTATTACAGAAGACAATCATATAGAAGTGGGAGTTTGAGTTTTCATCTGTGCAGTAGAAAAGTGGATGATACTGCATAAAGTGTAACTAGGCTTGTCAGTCAGTGATAGTGCCAACTGATAGCGTAGTAATAACTGAATAAATAAATGAGGAGAGAGTAAATTGAGATGTCCTTTGGAGTATGAGAACATAAAATTGGTGACTTAAACTGGGTTTTTAAAAAATTATGCTAAGTCATGCAAAATCACACTCTTACTTTCAGTGGAATTGAACTGCTTAAATGAGTTACTTTAATAGAAACTTTATAATGTGAAGTTGCGGTGCATTTTTACTTCGTTTGGATGGAAGAAGAGTTAGATTTTCTGATGACAGTGAACTTAAAAGGTTGGAATTCTTGCTTGACGAATCATTAACTGGTGATTCTGAGCCCTGAAAGACCTTCAGTATTAGTGGACTTCTCTAGTTCGGTTAAATTTAGCAGCCTGGAATTTTTCTGTCTGTTCTTTTCTTAGATTGTCTATCACAATAGACCATAGTTTACTGGTATACTGTAGGTCAAATTAAGATTATGACTATTAGCTTCTGTACAGAAGCTTTCAATTCTCCCTCAATGGATAAGATGAAAAAACCAAAACCTGATATATAACGAGAACATCACAAAACTCTGTGTGGCAAGATACATTCTGCAATTGGAAGGTGCTGCTCTGTGATCTATCACAGAGCAAGCAGCTCCTTCCTCCCAGTAAGAGTTGTGAATTAGTGAGATGAAAGGAATGTATCAGTACAATTAATCATTTACTAAACCAGAAGTATTTCTTGAACAAGACAAACATCATCTTTTCCTCATTTGAACACTGCCAGCTATTTGCAAAGTTTTCATCAGCATCTCACTGTCTTGCAGTTTGATACCCAGGGAAATGCAGGCAGAGCAATAACCTTGTTGTGGCAAGGAAGGGACAGCAGGAAGCAGAGGGATTTATGGGAAAGCACAGGGAACAGCAAAGAGAAAGTGCTGCCTAATGACAGTGAGAAAGAGCAGTAGAGTGGTATAGACAAGAAGGGGAGAAGAGGGGGTTGTACCATGTAAACGTGGTCCCAGTTTTAAGAATCAAAGCATTAGTGGGCATCTGGTCCCTGTGCCAGTCAGATGAAACATGCACTGTGGTGGCAGACACCAAGGGCTTCCAGCTTTGATCTGGAGAGAAGTGTATGTTTACAACAGAGCCAGAATATGTTTTCTTGTGAACACCAGAGG